GGGCACACCCCCCCCCCCCCCCCCCTACATAAGTATGTCAGACATTTCAAGTCCGAGGAGAAAGGTCTCTTCACTGTACCAGTCTGGAGTCCGTCAATCGGGAGGTGATGAAACAAAGTGCGGGTTTATCACCTAAACCTAATTACAACAGAAAATACCCCTCCATTGCTGCTGGAGTCACACACTGGACTTATAATGGGCGCAGGGGGCTTATATATAAGGGGTGACTGAGGAACCAAGGAAGGGGTCTCCCAATACAAGTCCACAGACTGGTCCAGGACAGGATACTGGGGTATAGGGGAACACAGTCTCAGCTCCGCATGTATCCCCACATAACTTGAAAATAGGTCTCTGGGGTCCTTCTGACCCATGGAGCGTACAAAATGGGTCCCATACAGCCCAAAGCGCCATGGCAAGTCCCTCTCCCAATCGATAGAACCCCCTACACAGCCAAGGACCATAGTCAGTGGGAAGGAGGCAGGCCTGCAGTACCCTCCAAATAACAGAGGCTTCAGTCACAGAAACCATGGCATGAAGAAATGGTAATGTAGAGCGTTCCTGGTAATGGACTGGCCCACTTATCCCCCAGATCCCAGGCAGATGACCCCCCACTTGCCTTAGCTGGTCTACAGCCGGCCTTAGTGCCCCAATTGCCAACACCATTAGATGGAAAATTGGTAATCAGCGTTCCTGTTAATGGACTGGCCCACCTATCCTCCAAATCGCAGGCAGATGACCCCTCACTTTTGCCTTAGCTGGTCTACAGCCGGCTTTAGTTCCCCAATTGCCAACAGCACCACAGGGAAAAATTGGTAATTAGCGTTCCTGTTAATGGACTGGCCCACCTATCCCCCAGATCGCAGGCAGATGACCCTACACCTGCCTTAGCTGGTCTACAGCCGGCCTCAGTTCCCCAATTGCCAACACCGTCACATGGAAAATTGGTAATCAGCGTTACTGGTAATGGACTGGCCCACTGATCCCTCAGGTCCCAGTGAGATCCTCCACCCGGCACTGCATGCCATGGCAGGTCTACAGCAGGCTTTAGTTCCCCATTCTTGACACCGTCACATGGACACATGGCAATGTAGAATGTTGTTGTTGGACCAGCCCACTGACTTCCCCCCCAGATCCAGAACAGATGACCCCCTCACTTTCCCCCACCTGACCTACAGACGCCCCTCGTTCCCCATTGCCGACACCATCGCATGACCAGAACAATTGGCAATGCTGAGCGTTCCTGTTTATGGACCAGCCCAGACTCCAGTTAGATCGCCCTCCCTGGTCCTCCTCCTCCTGCCCTGGCAGGTCTACAGGCGGCTTTACTGTCACCACTGCCACCACCTCTCCTCCGTCAGGTAGATCAGAGAACACAATGGAGAGGAACCCGTCCTCCTGCTTCTCTGGGGGTCCCTCAATCTGGATAATTCCTAATAAGACTAAAACCTGCCGGTGGGACGTCTGAGGAATGACAGAAGACGCGGCTCTGGGAATCCGGCGCTGCGCGGACTGGAAAGATACCATAAAATCCTCCGGAGAATTTTCCATCGGATAAAAATATCTCCTCAGCTCTGAAAAATGATGTTTTGTTAACGTTCGGCGCCGGGCTCCCGGGAGGACCGAGTGACCGATGTGTATGGATATGACCAGACGACCCCCAACAGAGGGGAAAATCTACACACGTGACACACAGCTATGACAATGACAGGGCCTCTTAATTAGTCCTGGGTCCCCTCTTCATTCCGGGGCCCACCTATATCCAGGGGTCATTATGTCACCTAGGTCTGAGGACTAGATGTGAGGGACTGAACGCGTCTCCTCCTCACCATGGAATAATCATCACTCAAAAGAGCACCTGTCGTGAGAGAAAGACCCCCCCACCTTCCCATGTACCCCCACTTCCTCCCAATCATCTCAGACCTCCACCTTCCCATGTATCCCCCACTTCCTCCCAATCATCTCAGACCCCCACCTTCCCATGTACCCCTACTTCCTCCCAATCATCTCAGTCCTCCACCTTCCCATGTATCCCCCACTTCCTCCCAATCTCAGACCCCACCTTCCCATGTACCCCTACTTCCTCCCAATCATCTCAGTCCTCCACCTTCCCATGTATCCCCCACTTCCTCCCAATCTCAGACCCCACCTTCCCATGTACCCCTACTTCCTCCCAATCATCTCAGTCCTCCACCTTCCCATGTATCCCCCACTTCCTCCCAATCTCAGACCCCACCTTCCCATGTACCCCTACTTCCTCCCAATCATCTCAGTCCTCCACCTTCCCATGTATCCCCCACTTCCTCCCAATCTCAGACCCCACCTTCCCATGTACCCCTACTTCCTCCCAATCATCTCAGTCCTCCACCTTCCCATGTATCCCCCACTTCCTCCCAATCTCAGACCCCACCTTCCCATGTACCCCTACTTCCTCCCAATCATCTCAGTCCTCCACCTTCCCATGTATCCCCCACTTCCTCCCAATCTCAGACCCCACCTTCCCATGTACCCCTACTTCCTCCCAATCATCTCAGTCCTCCACCTTCCCATGTATCCCCCACTTCCTCCCAATCTCAGACCCCACCTTCCCATGTACCCCTACTTCCTCCCAATCATCTCAGTCCTCCACCTTCCCATGTATCCCCCACTTCCTCCCAATCTCAGACCCCACCTTCCCATGTACCCCTACTTCCTCCCAATCATCTCAGTCCTCCACCTTCCCATGTATCCCCCACTTCCTCCCAATCTCAGACCCCACCTTCCCATGTACCCCTACTTCCTCCCAATCATCTCAGTCCTCCACCTTCCCATGTATCCCCCACTTCCTCCCAATCTCAGACCCCACCTTCCCATGTACCCCTACTTCCTCCCAATCATCTCAGTCCTCCACCTTCCCATGTATCCCCCACTTCCTCCCAATCTCAGACCCCACCTTCCCATGTACCCCTACTTCCTCCCAATCATCTCAGTCCTCCACCTTCCCATGTATCCCCCACTTCCTCCCAATCTCAGACCCCACCTTCCCATGTACCCCTACTTCCTCCCAATCATCTCAGTCCTCCACCTTCCCATGTATCCCCCACTTCCTCCCAATCTCAGACCCCACCTTCCCATGTACCCCTACTTCCTCCCAATCATCTCAGTCCTCCACCTTCCCATGTATCCCCCACTTCCTCCCAATCTCAGACCCCACCTTCCCATGTACCCCTACTTCCTCCCAATCATCTCAGTCCTCCACCTTCCCATGTATCCCCCACTTCCTCCCAATCTCAGACCCCACCTTCCCATGTACCCCTACTTCCTCCCAATCATCTCAGTCCTCCACCTTCCCATGTATCCCCCACTTCCTCCCAATCTCAGACCCCACCTTCCCATGTACCCCTACTTCCTCCCAATCATCTCAGTCCTCCACCTTCCCATGTATCCCCCACTTCCTCCCAATCTCAGACCCCACCTTCCCATGTACCCCTACTTCCTCCCAATCATCTCAGTCCTCCACCTTCCCATGTATCCCCCACTTCCTCCCAATCTCAGACCCCACCTTCCCATGTACCCCTACTTCCTCCCAATCATCTCAGTCCTCCACCTTCCCATGTATCCCCCACTTCCTCCCAATCTCAGACCCCACCTTCCCATGTACCCCTACTTCCTCCCAATCATCTCAGATCCCTGCCTTCCTATGTACCCCACTTCCTCCCAGTCATCTCAGAGCCCCAGTTTCTTGCCTAAACCATCCAATCAATCAATCCGTACCCCACCAAACACACCCCATGTACTACACAGATATTCGCAGATGTAAAGCAGATTGTACAACCAGGTTGTCGTGTGTGTGGTGGGCCTGTGAGACAATAACATTGAACAAAGCTCCCACATACTGTACAATGAGCCGCACTCACCTGGACGGTCGGGCCGGGGCGATCGGCTCTGTAATAAAAACATAAAAACCGGAATGAATCCAAAATAAAGATTCCATCTTATAAAATGTAGCAAGAGACGAGAGCAACGCGAGAGATCCTCTGACCTCGTCCCACAAACATCAGATCATCGATTTCCATCTGACAAAGCTTTATTACGCAACAGGAAGTGGCAGGAAATCTCCCCCCCATAAGCTGACCACCCACTATACAATCTGATTGTACAATCTCCTTTAGGATTCGCTGTGATATGAATCCATCCAGTTTGCATCCAATCAGAACTCGCATAGCTGATGGCAGCTCTAAAGAAGATTATACAATCAGATTGCATAGTGTATGGTCAGCCTTAGACAGTTGTCACCGACCAAGTGTCCCCATTGGACGATTTACTCTCTCTTCCTGTTTAGGTGACAACTGTTAAGATTTTAGATTTTCCGTTATTTTCTATCCTGGACACAACAAGATGAGTGACTCCAATGCTGTGTGACCAGAAAACATGAAAAGGCGGGTGTATATATTTCCTGGGACCGATATATATATATATACTGTGCAGGCGGTATACAGAAGCCGAGGTCGGGCCCCTGGTTCACACCAGTACACATGCAACATTCTCCCGTCTCATCAATGGCACTCATTGTGCGGTGGGACCGGCGGAGGGTCACATGACCATGAGGTCACCCCTGCGCTGCTGCGTGCAACAAGACATCCCCAGCCATGACCGTAAACACATGTGCTCTGTGTTATAGGCTCCCAGAATACTCGGCATGGGAGGGGGCGTGCCCTCCCCGCCATGGTGTGTGCTCTGAATATCAGGGGACGTTGTTCTAACATTAAGATCCACAAGGAACCCTAGAAATGATCAGTTGGTGCTTTCCAGACCATTCATAAGAACACATGCACAGTATGATGGGGGAGGGGGATGAGAAGGGGGGGGAGAAGAGAGAAGAGGGGATGTCCCCCTGGTGATGGGATTACGCCCCTCCCCATGGTGTGTGCTACGAATATGAGGGGACATTTTCATTAATTTAAGATCCATAAGGAACTCTAGAAATGATCAGTTGGTCCTTTGCAGACCATTCATAAGAACACATGCACTGTATGTGTGGGAAGGGAAGGGAGAAAGGAGGAGAAGAGGAGAATGAGCTCCCCCCCCCCCCCCCCCCCCCCAAAAAAAAACCCCCCCCCCCCCCCCCCGCCATGGTGTGTGCTCTGAATATTAGGGGACGTTGTCCTAACAATTAGATCCATAAGGAACCCTAAGATGATCAGTTGGTGCTTTGCAGACCATTCATAAGAACGCATGCTCAGTATGCAGGGGAAAGACAGGGGGAGGGGAATGCTGTTTTTGAAGGGGGGAGGGGGGGGCATCCTCTCACCCCAAAACATTATATAAAGAGAGATCACTCACACCCCAAAGTTCAATAATGGACATTCTATATCAGAACCAGACGATCTCTCTCCAGGTCACATGACATTCGGAAACTGCAACATTGTAGCTCATGGAGGCTCAGCATCACATGTGGGTGGTCTGTATGCAAATACAGCCTGCCTAGGACCGCCCACTTCCTCCAGACTGACACCCACCCACCCATCGAGGCATTTTGATATTTGCATAACTCCTCCCAGGAGCCCGCCCACTGCTTGCATCAGGGCTCTTGAGAGAGTACTGAAGGAGGGTGCTGTGATGTTTTTAGGAAGCTATGTACAGCCCGTTGCTGGCCCCTCCCACCAGCCATGATCTGTCTGTTGGCCCCTCCCACCAGCCATGATATGTCTGCTGGCCCCTCCCACCAGCCATCATTCTGCCTGCATTGTATAAGTGGTAGGCAACCTTGACACTCCAGCTGTTGTGGAACTACATGTCCCATGAGGCATTGCAAGGCTCTGACAGCCACAGACATAACTCCCAGAGGCAGATGCATGTTGGGATTTGTAGTTTCGGCACAGCTGGAGTGCCACGGATGACAATGGCACAGATGACGTCATACACGGTAATACGGGGACAAGTGATTGGGGTACCTGTGGCGGGGGATGGGGGCTCCTGAATCTTCTCCTGGATGCTGCTGGAAGAGGACAGTCCGACCTTTAACCCTTTATTGGCCCCGGAATCATCTCTGTCGCCGTCGCTGTCAAAATCGAAGAATTCTCCATCTTCATCCTCCACCTGGGGCCCCCCAGAGACTCCGGGGGGGACATCTGAAAAGCCGGCAGGACACGCACAGGTCATATTGGTGGAAATGATATATCAGGTGGTAGATCTTCAGGTATCGGGGATCACACAGGGGGCCCCACACACACATCACAGAGCAATATATTGAGGGGTCACACAGTACACTCGGGGTGCAGGCGGGGGTCACACAGTACACTCGGGGTGCAGGCGGAGGTCACACAGTACACTCGGGGTGCAGGCGGAGGTCACACAGTACACTCGGGGTGCAGGCGGAGGTCACACAGTACACTCGGGGTGCAGGCGGAGGTCACACAGTACACTCGGGGTGCAGGCGGAGGTCACACAGTACACTCGGGGTGCAGGCGGAGGTCACACAGTACACTCGGGGTGCAGGCGGAGGTCACACAGTACACTCGGGGTGCAGGCGGAGGTCACACAGTACACTCGGGGTGCAGGCGGAGGTCACACAGTACACTCGGGGTGCAGGCGGAGGTCACACAGTACACTCGGGGTGCAGGCGGAGGTCACACAGTACACTCGGGGTGCAGGCGGAGGTCACACAGTACACTCGGGGTGCAGGCGGAGGTCACACAGTACACTCGGGGTGCAGGCGGAGGTCACACAGTACACTCGGGGTGCAGGCGGAGGTCACACAGTACACTCGGGGTGCAGGCGGAGGTCACACAGTACACTCGGGGTGCAGGCGGAGGTCACACAGTACACTCGGGGTGCAGGCGGAGGTCACACAGTACACTCGGGGTGCAGGCGGAGGTCACACAGTACACTCGGGGTGCAGGCGGAGGTCACACAGTACACTCGGGGTGCAGGCGGAGGTCACACAGTACACTCGGGGTGCAGGCGGAGGTCACACAGTACACTCGGGGTGCAGGCGGAGGTCACACAGTACACTCGGGGTGCAGGCGGAGGTCACACAGTACACTCGGGGTGCAGGCGGAGGTCACACAGTACACTCGGGGTGCAGGCGGAGGTCACACAGTACACTCGGGGTGCAGGCGGAGGTCACACAGTACACTCGGGGTGCAGGCGGAGGTCACACAGTACACTCGGGGTGCAGGCGGAGGTCACACAGTACACTCGGGGTGCAGGCGGAGGTCACACAGTACACTCGGGGTGCAGGCGGAGGTCACACAGTACACTCGGGGTGCAGGCGGAGGTCACACAGTACACTCGGGGTGCAGGCGGAGGTCACACAGTACACTCGGGGTGCAGGCGGAGGTCACACAGTACACTCGGGGTGCAGGCGGAGGTCACACAGTACACTCGGGGTGCAGGCGGAGGTCACACAGTACACTCGGGGTGCAGGCGGAGGTCACACAGTACACTCGGGGTGCAGGCGGAGGTCACACAGTACACTCGGGGTGCAGGCGGAGGTCACACAGTACACTCGGGGTGCAGGCGGAGGTCACACAGTACACTCGGGGTGCAGGCGGAGGTCACACAGTACACTCGGGGTGCAGGCGGAGGTCACACAGTACACTCGGGGTGCAGGCGGAGGTCACACAGTACACTCGGGGTGCAGGCGGAGGTCACACAGTACACTCGGGGTGCAGGCGGAGGTCACACAGTACACTCGGGGTGCAGGCGGAGGTCACACAGTACACTCGGGGTGCAGGCGGAGGTCACACAGTACACTCGGGGTGCAGGCGGAGGTCACACAGTACACTCGGGGTGCAGGCGGAGGTCACACAGTACACTCGGGGTGCAGGCGGAGGTCACACAGTACACTCGGGGTGCAGGCGGAGGTCACACAGTACACTCGGGGTGCAGGCGGAGGTCACACAGTACACTCGGGGTGCAGGCGGAGGTCACACAGTACACTCGGGGTGCAGGCGGAGGTCACACAGTACACTCGGGGTGCAGGCGGAGGTCACACAGTACACTCGGGGTGCAGGCGGAGGTCACACAGTACACTCGGGGTGCAGGCGGAGGTCACACAGTACACTCGGGGTGCAGGCGGAGGTCACACAGTACACTCGGGGTGCAGGCGGAGGTCACACAGTACACTCGGGGTGCAGGCGGAGGTCACACAGTACACTCGGGGTGCAGGCGGAGGTCACACAGTACACTCGGGGTGCAGGCGGAGGTCACACAGTACACTCGGGGTGCAGGCGGAGGTCACACAGTACACTCGGGGTGCAGGCGGAGGTCACACAGTACACTCGGGGTGCAGGCGGAGGTCACACAGTACACTCGGGGTGCAGGCGGAGGTCACACAGTACACTCGGGGTGCAGGCGGAGGTCACACAGTACACTCGGGGTGCAGGCGGAGGTCACACAGTACACTCGGGGTGCAGGCGGAGGTCACACAGTACACTCGGGGTGCAGGCGGAGGTCACACAGTACACTCGGGGTGCAGGCGGAGGTCACACAGTACACTCGGGGTGCAGGCGGAGGTCACACAGTACACTCGGGGTGCAGGCGGAGGTCACACAGTACACTCGGGGTGCAGGCGGAGGTCACACAGTACACTCGGGGTGCAGGCGGAGGTCACACAGTACACTCGGGGTGCAGGCGGAGGTCACACAGTACACTCGGGGTGCAGGCGGAGGTCACACAGTACACTCGGGGTGCAGGCGGAGGTCACACAGTACACTCGGGGTGCAGGCGGAGGTCACACAGTACACTCGGGGTGCAGGCGGAGGTCACACAGTACACTCGGGGTGCAGGCGGAGGTCACACAGTACACTCGGGGTGCAGGCGGAGGTCACACAGTACACTCGGGGTGCAGGCGGAGGTCACACAGTACACTCGGGGTGCAGGCGGAGGTCACACAGTACACTCGGGGTGCAGGCGGAGGTCACACAGTACACTCGGGGTGCAGGCGGAGGTCACACAGTACACTCGGGGTGCAGGCGGAGGTCACACAGTACACTCGGGGTGCAGGCGGAGGTCACACAGTACACTCGGGGTGCAGGCGGAGGTCACACAGTACACTCGGGGTGCAGGCGGAGGTCACACAGTACACTCGGGGTGCAGGCGGAGGTCACACAGTACACTCGGGGTGCAGGCGGAGGTCACACAGTACACTCGGGGTGCAGGCGGAGGTCACACAGTACACTCGGGGTGCAGGCGGAGGTCACACAGTACACTCGGGGTGCAGGCGGAGGTCACACAGTACACTCGGGGTGCAGGCGGAGGTCACACAGTACACTCGGGGTGCAGGCGGAAGTCACACAGTACACTCGGGGTGCAGGCGGGTCACACAGTACACTCGGAGGGCAGATGGGAGTCACATGTTACTCTTGGAGTGCAGGGGGAGGTCACACCATACACTCGGGGTGCAGGCAGAGGTCACACAATACACTTGGGGTGTATTAAATTCAGGGGCAAGGAGACAAACAGCACCCAATGACCAGTATATCGGAGTCCAGGGGTCACACTCAGGTGCACAGGGATACATTTAGGGTGCAGGGGGTCACACTCAGGTACACAGGGATACATTTAGGGTACAGGGGTCATACACAGGGATACATTTAGGGTACAGGGGTCATACACAGGGATACATTTAGGGTACAGGGGGCACACACAGGTACACAGGGATACATTTAGGGTACAGGGGTCACACACAGGTACACAGGGATACATTTAGGGTGCAGGGGGTCACACTCAGGTACACAGGGATACATTTAGGGTACAGGGGTCACACTCAGGTACACAGGGATACATTTAGGGTGCAGGGGTCACACTCAGGTACACAGGGATACATTTAGGGTACAGGGGGCACACTCAGGGACACAGTTAGAATGGTGACACACTCAGGGTATACAGTATTTGGGGTACAGGGAGTATATAAAGAATTCATGCAGCAGAATCGGGGGGGTAACAAGCAGCACATTTTGGG